GGGGGCACCCCAAAAACCCGCACCCCAAAAATCAGCACCCCAAAAACCTCAGCGAGTCCCTGGGAACCCCAAAAACTCACCCCAAAATCAACCAGTTCATGGGAACCCCAAAACCCCACCCCATTAATGGACACCCCAAACCCATCCCGTGGTTCCCCGAGTCCGAGAACATGTGACACCCTGGGGGCACCCCAAAAACCCGCACCCCAAAAATCAGCACCCCAAAAACACACCCCCGTCCGGGGGAACCCCAAAAACCACACCCAGTTTGTGAGAATCCCAAAAACCCACCCCGTTAAAGGGACACCCCAAAAAACCACCCCAAACACCCCCAAAACCCATCCCGTGGTTCCCCGAGTCCCAGAACATGTGACACCCGGGGGGGCACCCCAAAAACCCGCACCCCAAAAATCAGCACCCCAAAAAACCTCAGCGAGTCTGGGGGAACCCCAAAAACTCACCCAAAACCCCACCCAATAAATAGACACCCAAAAATCCCACCCCAAACCCGTCCCGTGGTTCCCTGGTATTTTTTGGGGTTCCCATCACTTTTTTTGGGGGGTTCCCATGAGGTTTTTTGAGTTCCCATCAGATTTTTTAGGGTTCCCTGCTGGTTTTTTTGGGTTCCCTGGTATTTTTTTTTTTTTAGGTTCTTTGTGGCTCCCTGGTATTTTTTTGTGTTCCCACCAGGTTTTTTAGGATCCTTAAGCAGATTTTTGGGGTTCCTGTCCCGTTTTTTGGGTTCCCATGAAGTTTTTGGGGGTTCCCATGAGGTTTTTTGGGGGCTCCCTTGTATTTTTTAGGGTTCTCATTGCTTTTTTTTGGGGGTTCCCATCAGGTTTTTTGGGGTTCCCATGAGGTTTTTTGGGGTTCCTTGGTAGTTTTTGAGGTTCTTTGGGGCTCCTTGGTATTTTTTTGGGGTTCCCATGAGGTTTCTTGGGGTTCCCATGAATTTTTTTGACGTTCTTTGGGGCCCCCTGCTATTTTTTAGGGTTCTCATTGGTTTTCTTTGAGTTCCTATCAGGTTTTTTTGGGTTCCCTGGTATTTTTTTTACGTTTTTTGGGGCTCCCATGAATTTTTTTGAGGTTCTTTGTGGCTCTTTGCTATTTTTTGGGGGTTCCCATCAGGTTTCTTTGAGTTCCCATCACATTTTCTGGTGCTCCCTGGTATTTTTTGGGGTTCCCGTGAATTTTTTTGAGGTTTTTTTGGTGCTCCCTGTTATTTTTTGGTATTCCCTGTTATTTTTTGGGATGTTGGTGTCCCCTTACCCGGCAGGAGCCTGGCGAGCGTGGCCAGGGCGGTGTCGTTGGCGGCGAAGCAGGAGGAGAAGAGGGGATTCCAGGGGTCATTTTGGGGGT